TCCCTCTTCTCATCCTCCTCACCCTCCCCTCCCCAATGCATAAACATAAATATCTCATCTCTAAGCCCCTCTGCTTCTGGTGACTGTGTTTTCTTAGCCTCATCTTCTGGTGCCTTGGGGAGGTCTAGATAAGACATCAAGCATATCTGATCTGTTGGTCTCCTCTCACGTGGCCAGAGGGCAAATAGGGACAATCATATCCTGAAAGAGATGGCACTGAGAACCCATCCAGTCTTGGCTGTTATCAATCCAAAACGATTGCAAACATGGATGTCTCTGGATAGCTCAGATGAGCCAGATTCATTTAAAAGAGCCAGAGGGGGAAGCCATGATGTTTAGAGGTGGGCCAGCCAATCTCTATCTATCCATTAAAGAGCCTTTATTCAGTACCTTCTCTGTTCAGTTATACACAATCTCTGTCTTCACAATCAGTGACCAATAATACAAAGCCCAAATGTGCACATACACTGCACAATGACCAGCACTAAAGGGAAATAGATAATATACTTATGCAAGGGAGTTTCCTTCAAAGGTCTGTGTTTGTTTATTGATACAGGAGATGAGTATCAATTCACTTATTGATTTGTATGTGGGAGGTAGTTTGTAACATAGTTAAGCACAAAGGTTCTAAAGCCAGGCTGCTGAAGTTTGAACCCCAGCTCCACCGGCTACAAGCAGAATAATCCTGGGCAAGTCTTCTCAGATATGTCAGTCTCAATTTCATTTGTTAAAAGAAGGTCAAGAAGATAGGTTGTTGTGGGCAATGAAGTGTTAGTACCAGTAAAGCCCTTAATGCTTGGCACCTGGTAACCTTAAAATACTAGGTATAGTTAAGTTATTATTATAGTTATTATTCAGGGGTTGGGTATCTGATTTCCTTTATGTCCCACTAAGTCAGGGTTTCTCTACATTTTAGACCAGATAATTTTTTGTTGTGTGTAGGGCGTGGAGTCAGGGGCTGTTCTGTGCCTTGTGGGATGTTTAGCAGCATCCCTGGGTAATCCTTTACCCACTAGATGCTAGTAGATTCCCCCACCGTCGTGACAACCAAAAGTGTTTCTACTTTGTTAAATGTACCCTAAGAGGCAAAATCACTGCTGGTAGAGAACCATTGTTCTAAATATTCATAACTTAAATAGCTCATCAAGCATCCATGTGTATTATTAACATAATATAAACTTTGCCTATTTTAGACAATGAAATATCACAAAGGGTATGATATAATTTGAGCTACAGATATAAGAATCTGAAGATCATCTACCCCTGTAAGCCTCCCAAGTTCCTCCCTGCTCAGGCCTTTCTTTTGTGGCTACACATCTGCTCCACTCAGGGACCTCCTCTACATCTTAAATAAGGAAGTAGCAGAGCCTCTCAATGGAAATGTGACATTTCAAAGATCTTAAATTGTAAGAGCTATTTTAAAACAGTCCTTGGAGCTTAACAATTTCAAACTTTTTAACTAGGAGATGGGTTGCTCAAAAAAATAGTTATTGCCAAAAGTTCTTCTCAAATTGCTGCATATATCTGAATGACTTTTAATTTTTTTCAGATAAAATGTCTCCCAAGCAACAGCTAAAATCTTTCTCAAGCAAGAGCTTGAGTCCCTGTCGAATACTAATCAGATTACATAGAATATCCGGCCACCAGAATCGGCCACATGATACAATATGGGTACTGTGCACAGGCTCGATGGCTTTCTTCAGGACTGTTTGCTGCCACCTGGTGACAGAAAGCCAACATGGATGCAGTATTGTTCAATTCTATTTGCTTCAGGTTTTACTCTTGATAAGGAGCTGTCTTTGCTAATGGGGAGCCATTTTTCTGCTGAAGACTTTGGACCCATAGAAGAAATCAACTCGGGGCCTCTCACAAGTGAGGGTTATTTACAGTTAACTTCAGATAAATGTAAACTGTCCTACTCAATTTTAAACTGAACAAAAAAGAGCATAAATCTTCCTTCAACAAATAAAGCAAGCAATACAAATATTTTTCAACTCCATTTGGTGGAGAAAGAGGGAATAAGGAAAGACAGGACTTTACACATCCTCATATTCTTCTCCTCCCTCTCCTCCTTTCAGTTGGAAGGAGTTTTTGTTGAATGTGTTTTGGACATAATTTGACGCTCCATAAGTACTTGAATAGAAAAATAACAATCATAACAATACTTTTACATTGACACAATGAAGATATTAGTAAACGGCATTAAAGTAAAAAAGGCGGATGTGATTAAGTCTAAATTTAGGATTTAAATTTCATCTTTTAAATAATTTTTCATACAAACCACACTGAAAGCTACATTAACTGCTTGTATGAGCCACCAGATTATCAGGACTCACAGAATATTTGAGCTGGAAATGGCCTTTAAAATCACTGGGTTCAATTCCCCCCTGTAAATAGGGAAACTGGCACATGGAAAGCATCAGCCTTGCATCGAGAACAACATAGGACTAGACTTATCAAGTTATATAAATGACTAACTACTGAAGAAAAAAAAAATGTATGAGCCAGTTCTGTTTCTTTTTCTTTTTTTTAAATGCTAGTTTATTTTTTTCATATTATATATACTTTTTTAACATTTTATTTTTTTCTCTTTTTCTTGTACCTGTATACATCATCCTGAAAAGCTATTGTCATAGCTGTAATTGCCCCATATTTATATAAAGCCTCCTTTCAATTACTTTCTGTGCTTTAGGGTTATCATTCTGAATAGATTATATGCCTCCTGAGGTTAGAGGCCATAGTTTATGCTTATGTTTAAGTCTTTACAATGCTGGATATGAAGTAAACTCTCAAAAAATATTTTTTCCACTTGAATAAAAGATTGAAGTCAAATTTGGTAGTGGTCCTGCTGAGGTGGCTCTAAACTGTTCTGTCAATAAAGAGCATACTGAAAGCTCATTTATAGTTTAATATATGTTTTCTGTGTGGTAAAATCGAAAACCCATAGTAATAGTGAAAAACAGAAGTTTACTTCTCATATGAAAGGATTCTGGTGGTAGACAGACCAGGGCTGGTACCGCAGTGTCACAAAGTTGTCAGGAACACAGGCTTCTTCCAGGTCTCTACTCAGTCATTTCTGTTGAAAATTACAAAATAATATATAAATATAGGCCCTTTCTTCAAGAAAAAGACCCTCCTAAATAACTACAAACCACACAATTATCTTAGAGATCAGATTCTTGTGGAAATACAAATTTTGACCTACTTTGAAGGGATACCAATTTTGTGGGAACTCGATCGTTAAGTTTGGGATAGTAAAAATAGAGTAAAAAATATCTACTGAGCTGGTAATCTAAAAATAAGTATTTGTTTGTCATCCTTGTCTTTTGGTGTTTGCTTCGGTTATGCATCATTTAAGGGTATCCTATTGGCGGAATGGAATATTTGTTGAAATGCACACATAAAGAGTAATCAACCTTTACTCCTTAGAAATAAAAGTTCTATAAGTATAAAACCTGAATCTCTGTCAGTGAGAAAGCAAAAAATTGTTGATCTTGCAGTGGAATGTTAATTATTTCAGACCTCATGGCTCTAATTAGTTATTTGTCAATCATTCACTCAACCTTTCTCTGGCAGACGGGGCAGGATCCTGTACAGAAAATGGCGGCCAAGTTACTGCCACAAATAATTCTGTACAACAGAGAGAAATGAGTCAGGGAGAAAGACAATGATGATAGATATCAATAATAACTATTACTATCATTAATTCTAAAGCTATTATATTGTACTATGTGCTCAACACTAGTCTAAGTACTTTACATATGCTAACTCTTTAATCCCTGCCACAACTCTATAAGGTAGGTACCAGTATGATTATTGTCACATGAAGAAACAGGCAGAGAAGTTAAATGATATGCCCAAGGTCACTCATCTTATTAATGGTACAGCCTATATTCAAATACAGCCAGTTAGACACCAAAGTCATGCTGTTAACTACCATTGCCTTGACTAGAATCATAGTTATTCAACTAGTCAGTAATATTTAAGTGCCTACTGTGTGCTAGGCACTCTCTAAGGCATTGGAGATAAAAGGTTAATTTAGCTAACTAGCCTCCCTCCTTCCATACTCCAATCCATTCTCCACATAGCAGCCAGAGTGATCTTTTTAAAAACCTAAATCAGACCTTGTAACATGACTGCTTAAAAATACTTTTCTGGCTTCCATTGCACCTGGAATCGATTTTAATGTATAGCTCCATACCACGATCGGGTCCTTCGTCCCTCTTCCGTCTCATCTATAATTTTCCCCTTTATCACTATGTTCTAACCACTGGCTTCCTTTCTGTGTCTGGAAGGCACAAGATTATTCCAAGAAGGGCTTCTCATTCCCTTTGCCTGGGACACTTCTCTCCAGGCCCTCCCATGACTGGCTGCTGCTCATCCTGTAAGACTCAGCTGAAATATTGCTTCCAGGATTTCTCTGTCCATTCTGGCTGAAATGGTGGCTGCCCAGTAAATCCCTTGTTTAGTTTATTTATTAAACTTATCACAATGTATAGTTACTCTGTTGTCTAATAGTTTATCGTTTGTCTCTCCTCACTCAGCTCTAAAAAGGCAGGAACCTTATCTATTTTACTAAACACAGCTCCTAAAACAGAGCCTGGTCCATAGTGGATGCTCACTGAAAACTTGAATGAATGACTAATGAATGAATGAATGAAGGGGCAGTCCAAGCCTCAAAGAAGTTTACAGTGTAGTGCAATAGACAGAGGGTTACAACTAACTATAACACATTGGGTTTGTTCTATGTAACAAACATGCTTTGAGTTCACAGATGAGTGAGCAATAATTCTGCCTTGGAGTGGGGTAGAGGGAGGGGGGCCAGCATGCGAGATTTGAGGTAGGGAGACGCTGGGGCAAGTTTCTCACAAAAGGTGACATTTGAGCTCCATCTCAAAGGAAAAGTAAGAGCTCTAGGGAAAAGGAAGGAAATAGCTGTTTTAGGGAAAAGGAACTATTTGATGAGCATGAAAAAAAGCATTCTAGGCAAGGAGAACCAAGCAGGAGAGTAGAAGGCAGTGTGTGAACGTGCATGACAAATGAAATGTGAGCCACAGCAGTGGGCTGCTGGTGATGTCTAGGACCATGGGTTGGGTAAGTTGGCCCAGGGCAGCAACTGGCAGGTATTAACAGCACGAAGTGTGTGCAGCTTTTAACAATGAGATTGTTTTCCTTTCAGGGTCCCCGAGCTCCACCTTTTCACCTCTCCTTGCACCCTTTTGCCATGTTAACAGCACCCAAAGCAGCAGAATATGCCCGCAAACAGAGTAAGCCTTTTATTTCCATCGGCTTAGAGAAATTTAAGTAAACCTAGGAGGGGAATTCACAAAGATCAAAGTTGTTATGGTAATCAAATCTCTCTGTCCGGTTGAATTAAAAAGAACCAGGAGCACGTACGACTTGATTTCTCTCCATTATCAAAATCAGGGAAGTCTTATTTCTCAGACCCTTTGGTGATGGGAGCAAAGCACACTGGAAGGGAAGGATCTAAAATGGTGGGTGGATTCATTTTTTAAAAAGTGTTTTTTTGTACAGATATGGTTACTACATGTGTCTCTAGGTGTCAAGTTAAGAAGGGGAGCAACAAATAAAAATGCCACCAGCAGCTCTACAAGGGAAGCAAATGCCATGGAACAGAAACCATCGAAAAATTTATCTTTGGACACACAGCCAAAGAACAAAGTAGGTCTAAGAACACAAATTGGACCAAACTGATACCATATGTTTTGGGAGTATTTTACTTATACGGTAGTTAAGAGTCTAGCCTTTAGAGGTAGATGCTCTGTGTTTGAATCTAAAGCCCACTTCTGTGTGACTTCAGGCAACTTACTTAACCTCTCTGTTCCTTAGTTTCCTCTTCTGCAAAATGCAGAGAATAATGGTACCTCCCTCTAGGTTGTTGGATTGATTAACTGAAATTATGCATGTTAAGAGGTTAGACTAGTACTTGCACAGAGTAAACCCTAAATAAATATTAACCATTATTATCTTTTAGCATTTGAGAAATGCTATTCACAAGTTAATCATCTATTATTCTATGTATTCAGATAACTGTGTACATGCTTACAGCAAAAATTTCAAACAACACAAAAATTATAAGTGAAAAGTAAAAGAAGCCCCTTTTTCCCCATACACCTTTTCTATTCCTCAGAAATAACTGCTGTTAATATTTCTTGTAATATTCAAATGTTGCTATACATGTATACAGAAATATGCGTACATGTATGTCTTACTGATTTGTTAGAAATAACCAAATAATTAAAGAAATAAATATTTTTATTAAGAAGTAAATATTTTATTAAAGGTATGAAAAATATGCTTTAAAGTTTATTGTTTGAAGTTTTTCATTCTATATACTTGAGCTTCTTAGTCTTTTCCTTTCTGGCTTATAGATATTATGTCATGACTTTTAGCTGATACACAATTATTTAATCTCAGGATGAAACAATTCCTTATCCAGAATTTTCTGTTTATTTCCAGCCACTGGATTTCTTCTTAAAGTAAGGGAAAAGAAGAAATTACTTTTTAAAAATCCAGGTATTCTAGCAAACAGTTTTAAATATTTCTTTTATACTGTATTGGTATTAGTAGCTCATTTATTAGTCCAAATGGGTATGAGCACTACCATATCCTAAGAAAGTATTGATATTGGAAAGATGGCAAGCAAATTAATATGGAATGAACAGGACCATACCAAAGACCTAAAAAACAGCATACTATAGTGATTAAGAGTGTGAACTCTGGATTCAGATGGCTGGATTTGAAAACTGGTTCCCCATTTAATAATAACTTGGGTAAATTATTAAGTCAATCTCTCTGTACTTTATCTATAAAAAGAGGATTATAACAGTACTTACCTCATAGGGTTATTACAAGGACTAAGTGAGTTAATATATGTGGAAGGGCTTAGAAAAGTGCCAGGACTATAGCAAGCAATAATATAAGTGTCCCCATTATTGCCACTCCTGAGAAACTTATAATATCATGGAAGGGAACAAGACATGGAGAGAGGGCAGTTTGAGGGGTCTAGTTTCTGTTTCCACACATAAGGAGCTTGAATATCGTTACTCTATCCCAACAAGTAAAAAGCTGAACAGACTGAAAAATCAACACTTCTTAAAAATGTAAGTGAGGGGAGGACACAGCTGTCCTTAAGAATAAGATGGATTGGTGGATGGCTAGAGGGATGGAGAGACGCACTGACGTATGTTAAAGCAAATACAGCAAACTGTTAACTACAGAATTGGCAGATAAGGAGCATATGTGTCTTCATTGCACAATTCTTTCAACTTTTCTGCATGGAAAATTTCATAATGAAATTATGAAGAAGGAAAAAAAAGGACAGAGATTGTCAGGGTAGATCACAAACAGAACCCAATTACGTGTTGTCTGCCAAGAAACCCACTTGAAATATAATGACATATAGATTAAAAGTAAATGGATGGAGAAAAATATGCCATGTTGACACTAATCAAAAGAAAAGAAAAGTAACTATATTAATTTCACAGATAAGTCTATGGCCATGCCACCCTGAACGTGTCCAATCTCGTCTGATTTCGGAAGTTAAGCGGGGGCAGGCCTGGTTAGTACCTGGATCGGAGACCACCTTGGAATACCAGGTGCTGTAGGCACTTAAAAAAAAAAATTCATAGATAGCCGACTTCAGAGTAAAGAAAGTTATCAGGGATAAACAAGGAAATTACAAAGAATTAACAAAGGTTAATTCTCCAAGAAGACATAACATCCTTAACATATATGCATCGAACAATAGATCATCAAACTACTTGAAGTAAAAACTCATAGAACTGCAAGGAGAAACAGATGACTTCACTACCCTAGTTGGAGACTTCGACACCTCTCTACCAGAAATGAAGAGAGAGTAATTTAAGTTTAAATTCAAAGCAATACACAAGAAATTCAAAGTAATATGCCACAAGAATAACACACAACTAAGGGGCAAAGAAATTATTTAGTTTGGGTATGATTATCAAAGGAGGAATTACTTTTATTATCTTCTTCTTTTTTTTTTTTTGAAATAATTTCAAACTTAGAGAAAAGTTGCAAGAATAGTACAAAGAACCCTCATATACCTTTTACTCAGATTTACCAGTGGTTAACATTTTGCTCTATTAACTACATCATTTTTCTCTCTGCCTCTCTCTCCTTCTGTTCCTATTTCTCTCTCATTCTCTCTCTGTATATAGATATAGATATATAATTTTTTTCCCAAGCAATCAGAAGTTATATCGCCATATCATTTTACTCCCGTATACTTCAGTGTGCATTTTCTAAGAATAGTCATTCTCTTAAATAACCACAGTATAGTTATCAACTTTAGAACATCTAATATTGATACTTTTATCTAATCTACTATCTGTATACAAATTTTGTCAATTGACCCCCCCAAAATTTTTTCCTTCCGTATAGGATCTAGTGTGGAATCATATATTGTATTTATAAATAGGAAAAATATAACTCAATTTCCAAATGTCTCAGAATAGTTTTATGGAAATTCTTTTGTACCTATATTCATTTTAAGCCATCTTTGTCAGTAACTCAATATCTGATATTTGACCTTAACTCTCTACAGATTGAAAATTAATGTCTGTGTCCATGTTAGGTTGATGTGCTTCATACCAAAATCCATCTTTTTATTCTTCAGATCACTTAGAAACTTGGAACTGCACCATGGGGCTTCATAATAAAGTCTCTGGGAGAGGAAAAGAAACATCATCTGAAAACTGCAACTCTTGTCAGCACATTTTCTTTACAGTTAGCTTTTGATGCAAACTGCATTGAAGCATTATTATTGGATATTGATCTTTCTTCTCTTAGAAACATATTGTATTATTACATTCGGGTTTAAAAATGTGTGTATCTTATGCGAAGTCATTGCGAGTGGAGGACTGTTAGTCGGAGAATTCCAAGACTATATAGTGTTTCTATGTCATTGCTGGCTGACTTTGTAGCACATTTTCCAAATGTTTAGCACTGAATATTGCAGTGGTGGAATAGGAGGCAGTTTACCAGTTTCAATCCAAAATAAAATTAATGTCATTGATTGCCTTTATTATGTTCTCATATGGAAACATTTTAAATCATTTAAATAAAGCATTAAAAGAAAAATGGGTGTAAGCTTTCATTTAACAGAATATTATGTCTAGGAGGAAAATAAAATGTTCTAGTCATTCTGTACCTTTCCAAAATGCTAATTAGGCATATGGCTTAGCTTGTAAATATGTGAGTAAAAATTTGACCAATAGAATGTGAGTACAGATTATACTTTTCTTAAGGTTTTGATGTGCCATTTTTTTTTTACAGAAGTTTTTTTTTTAACATGTGCAAAAACAATTGTATGGTTTGTTGGCTTCTGCTGAAATGGTGGTGTATTCCGATGTGGGGTTGTGGCTGGAGATACCAATGCAGCCTTTCTCGTACTGGTTCAATTACGGCTGTACTGAGATTTACCAGTAGACCTGCAGCATTAGGCAGGAGACAGAAAAGTATATCAGTAGCCTGTGGTCCCTGGGTACACTGCCGGGTGTCTAATTTCATAAGACTTCGCCCAGTTTTCTTTTGTATAGCACTGCTAGTTGCGAGGGTACATTTTTTTCTTTGTGGCTATTTGTCTTTCCTTTTTATATCTGCACATTTGCTTTACATGCTGCCTGAGGACTTTCACAAATGGCGTTGTGGACATACTGCTAGCTGCAGTTGGATATCCTTTTAGAGCCTCTTTATGTGTCACGTGAGGAACAAAGGTGTTTGATTTCATCTTTCTACATACACGTGGGATGACAAAAGATGACCTGGGGGTTAGAGTCATCCTCTACGCCTGCATACCTGAGGTGTGCTTCTAAATTAATAGGTTGGCAGCAATGGAGAAAGCTCTTCAGGCAGTCATCAAGGTTCTATGAAACAGTGACACTTTAAGGAGGGAAAACTCAGGCAAATCATGCTGCTAATTTTGGTTGATCTCTATTTTAGCTCAAGGAGAAGTGTTTAATCACAAATTAAATTATGCCTGTTTTCCAAAGTTCCTGCTTTTCACCATCAACTCAAAGTTATATATTTACAAATTGATTTTACTTTTTCAACTCACGGAAGTAATATATATTTATAATAAAAAATTAAGGCAATCAAAAACAATAAAAAGGAGAAATAAAAACATAAAACTAAGACCTATAATTTTGCCATTCATTCATAACCATGACTGACACTTCAGTGTATATATAACTGTTCTAATCTTTTTTCCTCACATAAACATATGCAAAATATTGTTATCAAAATCATATCATACTGATGAGGTAATTTAGGAAATGTAATTGTTTTTCAATTATAGAATTTTTTGTTGCCTTTAGCTCTTCAAGTCCTTCTGGAACTCATAGGATTGTCACGAGTCACCCCAGATGGAACCACCAACCTCATCTCAGCAGTTTCCATAGGCAAACATTACAAAATGCTGGGCATGTAATGTATTTCTAGAGAGCTGCATAGGATGAGAAGTGCGCCCTTTGTCTCCAAGGTCATAATGGCTCTGCTGACTTCAATTCCTTTCACTGGAGCTAGTGAGGACAAGTCGAAAATGCCAGAGAGAATGAGAGCCCCCTGACCCATGATCCCAAATGAAAAAAAAAGAGAGAACATAGAAATCCCCTCACGCACTACCCCCAGGCTCCTTTTGTGTTGTTCTTGCCAACACAGCAGCCGTCCTGCTATATATACCAGCCGCCACTCTTATCCCCATCACACTGGACACTGATCATTCACTGTCAACAACCATGGGAAAGGTGAGCCAATGCAGGTGCCATACCATGTCTGTTGAATGTCTACTGTGTCTGGGGGATGTACTTCCCAGTTGATTGCCTACTGTCACCTTCTTTTCCACTACAGATCACCTTCTACGAGGACCGGGGCTTCCAGGGCCGCTGCTATGAGTGCAGCAGCGACTGCCCCAACCTGCAGACCTACTTCAGCCGCTGCAACTCCATCCGGGTGGACAGCGGCTGCTGGATGCTGTACGAGCGCCCCAACTACCAGGGCCACCAGTACTTCCTGCGGCGCGGCGACTACCCCGACTACCAGCAGTGGATGGGCTTCAGCGACTCCATCCGCTCCTGCCGCGCAATTCCTTACGTGAGTCTTGTTCCAACCAACTGATGAGAAAGCGTCATTGATCAGGGGCCATAAATTCCTGTTTATTAAAGTCAGTTTGTTCAGGGGCGTCATTGATCAGGGGCCATAAATTCCTGTTTATTAAAGTCAGTTTGTTCCAACTCAGGACTAGTGTTCACAGTAAGGAGAGCAATGCCCGACTCTTAAGCGTTTTTAAAAAAAAGTGAGCAAGATCATGAATAACTGTAATCTCTATTTTTTTCTTACTTAAGGATGACAAATTGTTTTGGGGGCACAAGAAATCACAACAACTTAGCCTCTAAAATTAAATTTCATAGCATCGGGCTAATCCCCAATTTCTAAACAAAAATCACCCTCTTCAGTAAGGGAAAAAATCTATCTACATAATTCTTTTTTAATGATAAAAAAAAATCACTAACAGACTGTGGGAGAACAATATAGGTATAATATATTTTAACCATATTGGTGATTATTTTTAATACATTCTCTACATTGTTTATCAGTATGTCCTCATACTGATCTAGAAACTAACAACTTGTTTCAGCTTGTAAGTGGCTTCTTGTTTTCTAGGAGTCATTATCAACTAGTTTATAACAAGGATTAGGATTTTATGAGACATGATCCTCACCAAAATGTTGCTTAATGTTTTTTAATCACATGGAGTCTGTATTTCTGCTTTCTGTTGACACCAAATTAATGTGGGAAGCAAATTTAAGAATTGAAACCAAAATTAGGCTAGAGAAATTTGCAGATGCAAAGAGAGATACAAATAAAATAGGAATTTCTTTAAGGCAAGAAACTCAAATGGTACAAGTGACTTGGCATAGTGTCAGACACATGGATTCAGAGTGAACAGGAATTGCTGCCCATTACGAATGCAAAAGCCACTTGGAAACAAGTTTGATAGGACTCAGTTCAGTGCAGTCATAACAGAAGAGGCAGTTAAAATCCTCTTTGCAGACTCACCAAATACGGTTGTTACAGAGGAATCCCTTTCATTCTGTTTATTTCCAAGTTTGTTTCTTCCACAAAATAGTTCAGTAGTCAGGTAAGTTTTATTTTAAGACTCTTCTTAATTTATGAGACCAACAATATAAGGAGAGGGAGTAGGGAGGAAACATATATATCAGGATCGTTGAAAATCACGCTTTATAAAGATGCAGGCTAATTGAGTCGCTTTTACTGACATTGAGGTTGCACACAATTTATTTATTTCTTCATTTGTTTATTATCACAACAGACCGGCTCTCACAGGATAAGACTGTATGAGAGAGACGATTACCGAGGCCTTGTGTCCGAGCTCACTGAGGACTGCTCCTGCATCCACGATCGCTTCCGGCTCAATGAGCTGTACTCCCTCCACGTGCTGGAGGGCTGCTGGGTCCTCTACGAGTTGCCCAACTACCGGGGGCGGCAGTACCTGTTGAGGCCAGGGGACTACAGGCGCTACCACGACTGGGGGGCCATGGATGCCAGAGTAGGCTCTCTGCGACGGGTCATCGATTTGTACTAAGCAGTGTTTTTCTTGTTATGATCTCCATAGAAATGCAATAAATAAACAAGTTGTGTTCCTGGCACTATGTGACTCTTGCGTATCTTTAAAATAATAACTGAATTCTAAAAATGATGACTCCTGGGCACTCACCTGACCCCAAAGATAGGTGTTTTCAATGTCTACTTATTTTCAACAGTATTTATGGAGTCTCCACTTATGTGGGAGGAGAGAGAAGCACTGTTTCTGCCTCTATTACCCACTCTCTCCTGAGGGAGAGAGGAAAGACAAACATAATGAAAAATTATTGGAACCCATATAAAGGAGAAAAATTAGAACCAGGTGTGGCCGCAACACCAAAGGAGAGGCTAGCACAGCTGAAGTCTCAGGTATTAGTCAAGGAAGGCTAAATGAAGAGGGGTTTTAAGCAGAATTCCCAAAGCAGAGAAGGTCAAACTTGCTTGATGAGGTCATCTGGTGGAAATTAAGAGTTAAAAGACCTGAGTTGTTATCTCGCCTCTATAACTTACTGGTAGAGTGACCAACTCACACTAGTTTTCTAGAGATTCTCCCAGTTTTAGTCCTACCTCCTAGAAAGCCCCCCAGTCTCAGGTAAACGGGATGGTTGGTTCCCCTACTTACTAGCTTATCTCTTTGAGCAAGCCACTTATTATCCTCTCTATGCCTAAACTGCCTTATTGAAAACTACAGGAAATAATAAATTCCTGCCTCACTAAATCCTAGGATAGTTATGATGAAAAGATGAAGAAAGATTGTGAACACACTTTGTTATCTTTAAATTATTACATAAATGTAAATGTAAGAAATGAATGTATCCTTAGTGTTCCTTCAAATTCAACACTACAATATGGTCAACTTTATTTTGGACTCCAATATGAATTTTATCAAGACTCAATTACCAAAGACTTAATTATGCAGAGTAAAGCATTAATATTTGCTATTCTGCATACCTCTGGGATTTCTTTCCAAATTTATATAAGCAAAAATAGTGCTCTAAAAAACAGTTAACTTTTTTTGTAGAAATTGATTTTAAAATTTCTGGAATTACAAAGGACCCAGAAGAGCCAAAGCAATCTTGAGAAAGAAGAAAAAAGTAGGAGTACTCACACTTCTCAATATAAAAATTTACCACGAAACAACAATAATAAAGACAGTGAGGTACTATCATAGGGTAGACATAAAAATAAATGTAATAGGCTTGAAAGTCCAGAAATAAACCCATGTGTCTATGTTGAACTGATTTTTGACCAGGGTGCTAAAACAATTCAATAGGAGAAAAAATAGCTTTTCAACAGTTCTGCTGCAACTACTGGATATCCACATGAAAAAGAATGAAATTGGACCCCTAGCTAATACATATATGAAAACTAACTCAAAATAGATCAAATACCTAAATGTAAAAACTTAAACTATAAAACTCTTAGAAGAAAATATAGGCATACATTTTTATGACCTTTATTAGGCAATATTTCTTAAATATGACACCAAAAGCATAAGCAACAGAAAAATAAATGGGATTTCATCAAAATTAAAACCTTTTATGCATCAAAATACACTATCAATAAAGTAAAAATACAGCCCACAGAATAAAAGAAAATACTTAGAAAGCATATATCTGATAAAGGTCTAGTACCCAGAATACATAAAGAACTCTTACAATTCAACAACACTAATAATGCAATTAAAAAATGATCAAAGGACTTGAATATATATCTTTCCAAAAATATATAATTGGCCAACAAGCAAATGAAAAGATGTTCAATATCATTAGTCATTAGAGAAATCCAAGTCAAAACCACAATAAAATACCACTTCATTCTCACTAGGATGTTTATAATAATTCTAAAGGAGGGGGGGACAGAAAATAACAAGTATTGTTAAGGATATGAAGAAATTGAAACTCTTACAAATTGCTGGTGAGAATGTAAAATGGTGCAGCCATGTGAAAAACAGTTTAGTAATTTCTCAAATAGTTAAATATAGAGTTATCACAGGACTCAGTAAGTCTACTCCTAGGTATATACTGAAAAGAAATGAAGAAATGTTCAAACAAAAACTTACACATGAATGTTTATAGCAGCATCATTAACAATAATTAAAGGGTGAAAACAAACCACATGTCTATCAATAGATGATTGGATAAATGAAATGTGGTATTATCAATAAAAGGAAATATTATTTGGCCATTAAAAGGAATAAATGCTATACAACAATGATGAACCTTGAAAACATTATGCTAAGTGAAAGAAGATAGTCATCTAAGTCCTCATATTATGTGATTCCATTTATATAAAATACTCAGAACAGGCAAATCCATAGAGACAGTAAGTAGGTTAGTGGTTATTTAGTGCTATAGAGAAAGATAGCTAAAGGGCATAGGGTTTCTCATTATGATGGTAAAATGTTCTAAAATTGGATGGTTGCATATATCTGAATATACTAAAGCTACTGAATTGTACACTTAAAATGGGTGAACTATATGGTATGTGAATTATATCTCAATAAAGCTGTTAAAAAAATGCCCTGCACAGAACTTTAAATAATGAAAATTCTTTAAATTAAGATCCCTTCTTGTTGGACTCTTATAGGATTAAATTAAAATTATGAAGATACACATACAGTAGTCCCCTCTTATCCATGGTTTCACTTTTCAAGGTTTCAGTTACCAGTGATCGACAGTGCTCCAAAAATATTAAATGGAAAATTCCAGAAATAAACAACTCATAAGTTTTAAATTGCATGCCGTTTTGTAAAGCGTGATGAAATCTCATGCCATTTCTCTTTGTCCAGCCAGGTACACGAATCACCCTGTATCTACGCTTCATAAACTACCTGCCAGTTAGTCACTTAGTAGCTGTGTAGGCTATCAGTTATCAGTGAGAATGAGAGAGGGACCACATTCATATAACTTTTATTACAGTACATTGTTATATGTACTGTAATTAGTTATTATTGTTAATCTGCTGTCTAATTTCTAAGTTAAACTTTATCATAAGTATGTATAGGAAAAAACATAGCATATATGTTTGGTACTATCTGAGGTTTCAGGCATCCACTGAGGGACTAGAATATGTCCCTTGTGGATAAAGGGGGACTACTGTATTATCAAAATGTTGTGACTCTTTCCAATATTAAATATGCAGAATATTTGGAGTTTTGCTGCTGGCTTAGCTAAATCATTGTGTGTTGTCCTCTAGTTGGGTGACTAATAAAATATCAGCTCTGTTTTAACAAAAAAGGAAAAATTAGATAACATGTCTCACTGAAAATAATTTTGTTAACTTAAAGTTTTTCTTTATTTTAACCTAGTGAACTGAAAGACTTAGAAAACAGCATTTTATCTGACAAAGCTCAGTATGCCACAAGCTTCCTTCCCTAGAAAGTTGAGCTCCATGAGTCCTTCACTTTAAAATTCTATTAGGTTTCAAGGTGGTGTATCTCAGTAGTTACCAACATCGACTTACATGTCTGTGGACTTCATTTCTGGCTTGACCACCTAATGGCTGTGTGACCTTGAGCAAGTTACTTCTCCTCCCTAAGTCTCAGTTTTTCCTCTTGCATATTCTCATGATAAATAAATGAGATAGATACCTCTTGTAAAGGAGCTAGCACATAGCAGAGGCTCAATAAATAGCAGTCATTAATTCAATAGTTTTATGTAGTTATGCTATATAAATGGATTTTATAAGAAAAAGGGGCTAGAATAAATTTGATATTTACTAGAAAATTCCTCTAACTTGAGGAAACATGAACACCCTCAGTGTTCTTTCGATAGTCACCCATTACTCTTATCTTAGAAGTTTACACCCAAATAAGTAAATCAGGGATTACAGAGCCCTTTATAGTTAGTTAATGCCAAGATCTTAGAGCCAGACTGAAGAAATCAGTCAATTGTATTATCCACTAGAATTTAGAGCTCCTGTCAGAGCCAAAGATGATTCTCAGGTTTGATAGGGACACTGTAGGATACTTGGGTGTTAGGGATTTCTATTAAAAAAAAAAAGTGTAACATTGAACCTACTATGAGAAGTATATAATTTAGGGAAGACAGAGATGTGCACGTCTAGAAAGATAACATCTAAAACAAGCAATTGGTATATGCAGAGGCAATTAGCTCAGGCATTAGAGGCTGACAGACTTGAGTTCAATTCCCAGTTCCTCCACTTACTAGCTATATGTATCTTTTCGTATGTTTCCTCATAGTGATGAGTACTGTGATTAGACTTAGTTAGGGTTCTTGGCCTGAACTAGGTGCTTCAGAGAACCTCTTTCAACTTCTCTAGTTGCAGTGTTTCCCACAAGACAGTAATTTATGGGGAAATGCAGACATGCCCCAAATTCTCCTGGACAATACTTCCTATACTTGAAGCTCCAGAATTTCCTCCATTTAGACCCTTGATTTCAAGACCTAAGAGAGTCTTCACCAGGTCTATCCTCCCAAGGACACTGGTAGTTTAAGGGCAGGTGTTTGTGGGACATGAAGTGAAGGGGAGAGGAACGTGTGGACGGAGCTTGGACGCATGAGTGAGTGAGAAGAGAGGAGCATAGTCAATGGAGTAGTGAACGGGGACTCTGTTTGTGTTCTTGCCCCAAGTCTCAAATATTTGGAACAGTCCTGGTAATAATTGTGCTGTGTTGGCTACATAACTTACTTTTTATAAGATTCCTGGCACGATGTTTGGAAGAGAGTAGACACTCTTTATGCAGTAGGCTATTATTATTAACTATTATTATTTTCATCATTGTGAATCAAATGAGTACTACTAAAAAGTTTGCTGCAGTTTCAATCTTTCCTACATAAATGAAAGTGAGTTTGGCTTCCTTCAGCAGGGCCATGTCAGCGATGTGATGATGAACTCAGGAGGTTTCAGCTGGGAAACATGTAGGTGGCTACCACAGAGCAGGGAAAGAAGTCTGCAAATGCTTCAGAAAACCCAGATTATAAACTAAAACATCTATGTCAGGGGAGGAGACTAGAGGGTGATGAGCTATTTCTGCCG